TCTTGCAACCACTCGACCGACTCACAGGGAATGACCCATGGCGTTGGGGCAAAGAGGAGCAGCATGCCTTCGACGAGCTCAAACGGCTGTTCGCAACGACTCCAGTCTTAGCGCTGTATGATCCCAACTGGGAGACGCACATTGAGGTTGACACCTCGGGCTACGTCACTGGCGGCGTGTTGATGCAGAAGCAGGATGATGGCAAATGGCATCCCATCGCCTTCAGATCCCATGCAATGGATCTGGCGCAGCAGAACTATGAGATCTACGATAAGGAGATGCTCGCAATCATTGAGGCACTAGATGATTGGCGCCACTATCTCGAGGGGTTACCCAATCAGTTCGAGATCGTCACTGATCACAAGAACCTCAAGTATTGGCGCACGTCACAGCACCTCACGTGCCGACAGGCACAGTGGTCACTATTCCTGGCTCACTTCAACTTCCGCATCACGCACAAGGCTGGGACGTCCAATGGAAAAGGCTGATGCCCTGTTGCATCGATCAGACCATCAGATCGGCGATGAGGACAATAACACTGATCAGGTGGTTCTCAAACCTGAGAGATTCCGCATCGCCTCTGCAAGGCGTGGCCATGCTTCGGTGACAGCTGATCAGTCGCTTCTGAAGCGCATCCGGGAATGTTCGGAAAAGGATCGGGAGGTGGCCGAGGCACTTGAAAAGGTGCATGTACGTCCCAAAGAACGCGGAGCTCCGGCGGAATATAGTCAAGATCCACCACGACTCGCCAATTGCCGGTCATGGTGGTCGTGCCAAAACCCTGGAGCTCGTGTCGCAGAATTACTGGTGGCCTGGGATGTCCAAATTCGTCAATGAGTACGTAAGCACCTGCGACATGTGCAACCGTACCAAGACATTCCCAGCCAAACCCCAGGGTCTGCTGAAGCTGAATGAGATCCCTGAGCGCCCGTGGCAGATCATCACGACCGATATGATCATTGGCTTGCCAAAGTTTGATGGGTTTGACTCGATCCTGGTTACCGCCGACCGTTTTACAAAGCAGGTCCACTTCTCAGCCTGTCATGAGACCCTGACGGCAGAAGGAGCGGCAGACCTATACATCCGCAATGTGTTCAAGCATCATGGAGCCCCGGCCAAGGTCATATCAGACCGAGGTCCCCAATTCGCTTCGAAGTATCTCCATGCGGTGTACAAGGGGCTAGGGATCGAGCCAGCGCTGTCTACAGCGTTCCACCCTCAGACGGACGGCCAGACCGAGCGCTGGAATCAGGAGATCGAGCAGTACCTGCGTGCTTTCACAAGCCACAGGCAGGATGATTGGGCAAAGCAGTTGCCGCTCACAGAGTTTGCACTGAACAACCGAGTTCACTCCGCGACTGGGCACTCCCCTTTCTTTCTGCATCAAGGGTACAATCCTGAGATCCAAGTGCGGATCAACCCAATGTCTGCGATGCCTGCAGCCGCTGATCGGCTCAAGATCCTGAAGGAGATTCGTAATGACACGCGCTCTGCACTCAAGCTGTCAGCCGAGCGTATGAAAGTGTACTATGACAAGCACGTGCAGGAGGCACCGGTCTTTGCGCCAGGGGACAAGGTCTGGCTTGATGCCCGGAACCTTAAGCTAAAACAGCCGAGCAAGAAGCTCAGTCCCAAGCACCTTGGACCATATGCCGTGCGGCGAAAGCTCGGAGACTTGGATTATGAATTAATCCTGCCGAAGTCGGTGCCGGTGCACCCGGTATTCCATGTCTCCTTGCTTAGCAAGTACACGCGTAGTGAGATCCTGGGCCGGGAGCCGGAGGAGCTGCCCGCAATCGAGGTTGAGGGCGACGAGGAGTACGAGGTTGAGCGGATCAAGGACTCGAGGATCTTCCGGCGACAGCTGCAGTACCTCGTCAAATGGAAGGGTTACGACGACTCGCATACGTCATGGGAACCGGCACGCAATGTTGCCAATGTGCCGGCCCTCATAGCTGACTTCCACTGGAAGAATCCAAACACCCCTCGTCATCTCAACGCTGCTACCTTTGGTGGTCTCAATTTTCAGCCAATGCCTTCGCCGCTGACTGAAGCACGATGCCGCCCCGGATGGAAGATGGGCAAGGGCGCCTCACATGAGGTCATGCGCCGTTGAGGGGGGGGTAATGTCACGAGTTGGTACGGCATCTAGCTGTTTTTTAATTTTTTTCTTTTTGCAGGCTCGAACCCACTGATACGACCTACGAAACCCTAACCCCTAACCTGGGTGCGACCTAAAGGGACTAGAGAGACGGATTATAGTCCAGTGAGAGGGGAGTTAGCAGCAAGGTGTCCCGCGGTTCGAGTGAACACGAGAAAACGCCCTTGGAAGAGGCTACGAACAACGGGGAAGGTACGAGGTGGCTTTGACACGTCGTCAAAGCTACTCGGAGGCTGTGGGTGGTTAGCGGAGACAATCGAAGCTCGGCAGAGCTCTTGGATGTATCATAGAAGGAAGGGGCACGACTCGATAGGTGGACTTAGCTAGGGCACGGTTCGCAGTTTCTTCGACAATAGTCGAAGTCGAAGGGTTCATCGAGATGGTATTGATGAGTAAACGCAGTGGACGAGATCTCAAGGTTACGCAGCGGGGGACGAAGTGACGCAGTTGGAAGGCTTAGACGTGGGGCGAACTCGACTTATGAGCTCTGAACTCGAGGGGGGAACTGGATCTTGTATTTTTGGAGAGAAGTACGACAGAATTTATACTATGCATAGGACGCTACGACTATCGAAAGTGGCACAAGTACAAGAGGCTTTGCATTGTTCCGCACGAATCTGCCTCTCCGAGTGGCACGCATCAAGTCCATTGGTAGAGTGACATCATGCCGAACACGGAGATGAAGAGCAACATATGGCCACTTCGGACCGGTATCTGTCGTTGAAGGCATACCGCGAGGTTCGATACCTAATTGGGAAAGACCGGCTACGTCAGTGTGGCATGGAGCAATGCGCGCGCTTGGCCGAGCGGTGTCAAGTGGCCCTATTGTTCGCCGAATGCAGAAGATGTCCCGGGATCTACGTGCGAGGCATCGGGACGACCGTGCCGAGCTTCGAGTAAGCATCACGCACCGTCGAAGATGTCGAAGAGTGTCGAAGGCAAAATTGAAGTGTTGGAAGACTGAGTCGAAGTGCCGGGCGGGATGCGACTGCCAAAAAGAGGTGTATCGGGGCCCAGAGGGGCTTGGCACCTATCATCTCCTCCCTATTGAAATTTGGACCGCCCTCGGTCCTCCACGTGATGCGAGAAGTGCAATGGTCGTGAATGGATCGAAGCGGCATGACAACCCATGTCGGTTTCAAACGCCACGTGGCCGGCGCTAAACGCTGGTCAGAAAGGGGTTATAAGCAGGGTAGACTTGGCCTCATTTTCCCCAGCCCATCGTTCCTTCTTCGCTACCTTGTCGCCCCTCCTCACATATTCGCTGCTTCTACAATGTCTTCTCGCTCCGCCACCCCTGCCTCGACGCCTTTGCTCGTCAACCGCCGCCTCGCCTCCTTGCTCGTGGTTCTCGAGGCTCTGCCAACCGCCGACGCCGCGCTCGACGTGGTCAAAGAGTGGGCGCAAGATTTGTCGCCGCTCGTCGTAAGTCGCCCGTCATCTGTATAACCCATCTAACCATTTGTTTTTGAACAGCTCGCCTATCGCAAGGCCCTAGGCGCCATCCGCAACGAGGAGACGGAGTTGCGCGTTGCCGCCGCCGTCAAACAGCTCGCTGAGCGGGCGTTGGAGTCGTGGGTCGAGTGGGCGCGTGGCGACTGGCCCAAACTCGCGACCGCCATCGACGCCGAGGTCGAATGACGCGCCGAAGAGCAGAAGCGTCTCGCCGAGGAGGAAGCACGACACGTCGAAGAGGCCGCAAAGCGTGTGAAGGCCGCCGAGGACCGTCGCCTCGAAGACAAACGGCGTCGAAAGGATGAAGAGGACCGTTGGAGGCAGGCTGCCAAAGACGAGCATTGTGCACAAGAGGCTGCTGACGAGGAGTTGGCAAAGATTGCGGCCGCCGAGGGACTTCTTGACAAGGGGAAAGGGTGCGCGAGAGTCGACGAGGAGGTCGCCGAGTTGTCGGATGACCCTTCGCTTGTAAGTGTTCTCTTCTATTGTCCTTCGATTACTAATCTCTCTTTCATAGAAGACTCCTCGGACGGTCGATCGCCTGTTCGCGATGACAGAGCTCGACATGGCCGCTGCTGCGCTTGTGAAGCGCCAGGCTGGACAGAAGGTACATTCGACCCTCCGTCGAATCTGTTCGATGCTAACGCCTTGATAGTGTGATCGTTGCGCCGGCTACCGCTCAGCCCCGGTCGAATGCGTGTGGGTCGAGAACACTATGACCTGCGAGAGGTGCGTGCAGTTCCAACAGGGCTGCTACTTCGACAAGGTATCCGTGCTTGGGAAGACGAAGAAAACGCGCGGCGGGGGTTCAACCACAAAAAAGCGCAGTAAGTTGTTTTTTCTTGTTGTCATAGGCTTTGGCTGACGTCTGAGTAGTTCGGCCGACCTCTTCTGTGCCTTCGGCCGTGGATTCGAGTGGTTCGAAGAAGCGTCACGTCGACGAGCCTCCACGCCCCCTGTTACAACTGCCTCTCAATGGGGCCAGCCGCCTTGGCCTTGAACAGGACGACCTCGACGTGCTTGACCTCGACGACGAATCTTGGGGGATCATTCATGTCATCCGCGAGGAGCGTGCTCATATCGCTCGCCATCGAGCGCTCCTCCACAACATGGACCTCGACCTCCAGAAGATGGAGAAGGCCGTGCTTGCGAAGGGAGGAATCGGGTTTGTGTGCGGGGCTGTCGACAATGACTAGGCAATGGCGCACGTCGTTTTGTATCGTAGTTGCAATCATGTCGTAGAATATCGCGTCGATAGTCAAATGGAAAATGTGGCCCTTGGCCTAGACGAAACCTAGCGTGAACTAAGAAAAGGAAATGAAAATAAGTGTGTTCGAAGCAAGTTGTAATATGATCGAAGGACATAGAAGGTGAAATAGAAATGTTCGTAGCAAGGGAAAATGGACTTATGAAAATATAGGCTCAGTTTGTCATCACAGCCTAGGAGGACTCGCCAGGTGAGCCTCCACGCAATGGTCGAATCGAAGTGTTCATAGAACGTCGAACGATGTCGTGACTATCGAGTTGAATCGAAGATATTCGTACAAGGGATGGTCTAGAACATAGGAGAAAATCAAACATATAGCGTAACGTGAGAGCAGGAACGGAGAGAAGAAAGTATGTATCGTGTTGTATAAATAATAAACGGGAAGAACCTCTATTCGTCGTGTTCTTCGGCTTCTTCGACTTCATCATTGTCGTCGTTGCCTAGAGAATTCGATAGTTCGAGTTCCCGAAGGCACTCTGTCAAGACATCTTCGAGATCTTTGGGAATTGGTATGGATTTGCACGCGAAATACGGAATGACGTGGAATGCTGTGATGGGTCGATCAAGGACTGTACCGTCGAGTTCGCACACGATGTACGCGCCGCCCTTGTTGCACGAGACAATGATGAGGGGGCCTAGATATCGCGGGCGCATCTTGCAGTTGAGGGACTTCTCGATCTTCGTGTTGCATATGAGCACTAGGGCTCCGCGCTTGAAGTCGAAATCCTGGATTGAATACTCGTGCTCTTTCTCGAAGCGAATTGCTGCAGTTTGACGTGCTTCGTAGACCTTCGAGTGGAGTTCAGTGACTTGCTCGACGCGTTTCTGGAGCGCAATGGCCCTACGGGCGATGAGATCGGTCATCGAAAGGACCGAAGTCGGTGGTGGTTGCAGGTACGTAGCTTCGACGATGTCGAGAGGTATGAGCGGATGGGTGCCTGTAACAGCGAAGTAGGGTAAGCAGCCCATGCATCATCGAGTCGTGATGTGCTCAGACCAAAATACAAAATACGCAGCTTGGGACCATTTCTTCTCATCTCCGTCGGCTATCTTAAACAAGGCTTGTCGCGTGCTGAAATGCGGACGTTTGACGAGACTGTTTGCCCTCGAATTGTACCTACTGATTCGGATATGGTTGATGTGGTATTTCTTCGAAAGGTAATCGGCCGCCTTGATGAATGCTGTACCGTTGTCGGTGACGATGTCGCTGAGCGCGCCCCATCGACAGAGGATGTCTTCGAAGATCCAGTCGGCGAGGGCCTTTGCTGTCTCTTTTCGAAGCATTCGAAACTTGGGGTAAGTCGTGAGCGAGCATCTACCTTGGACCAAGTACTTGTATCCGCCCAAGGCTGGCATGTGGATTGTGTCGATGTGAATTTTTGCGAAGATGGGGGCTGGTACTGCGACGGTTAGAGGAATGAGGATTTGACTGTCACGAGTTGGTACGGTGCCTAGCCGTTTTTTAATTTTTTCCTTTTCGCGGGCTCGAACCCGCGACCTCTGTACTACCTGCCTGATATGGACGCGTCGTTATCTACTGTACGATTAGATTAGATAGGACGGCAGTGCGCGGCACAGCTCGGGCTCCGCTGACACAGCCGCTCTGACTCACCGGCCCCCGGGGCCGCGTCGGCATGCTGTACACGGACCAGCTGCGCACGGACCAGCGCGCACAGCCTCCCCTAAACTCCCCCTGTATATAAGCCTGCCTCTGCTGCCCTAGGGACCTCAGTTTCGACCTCTTGTCCCTAGCCTTAGGTTTGAGCCTAGCTCACCATCGCTTCGGTAAGATAAGTCGAACGCCCCCAGCGTTTGGTTTTCCCCTGTCGCTCGACCCTAAGTCGCGACATTAGGTCGAAACTCCTCAACGCTGCCGGCGTTCCAAAACAAACACTCATCTTTCCTCTCCTATAGGTTGGGTGGTGCGCACCCCTACTATACCCTACGATACTTAGATAGCCTACGATACATCGCCACCACTTAAGGGACGAACTCTTCGGTATCTGCACTTCAGTGGGCGATACTTGTCCTCACGGACGCGTGGCTTAGGTTCCTGCTGCATACTAGCCAAAAGCAGTACTGGGCCCCACGTGAACTGCGAACCTTAGTGTCTTCTTGGGCGCCGTAGGTGTAAGCTAGCTAGCACGGCCTTTCGTAGCACGCGCACCTCCCCTTCCTCCCCCCATCACCGTGGCTGACGGAATTCTTC